AAATGCTAAGACAAAGCAGCTTCTAGCCTAACCCTAAAAGCTTTTAATTGCAGACCTCAAACCATGCAGCTCCTAGCCTATAAATTTAAAACCGGCCTAAAACCTTAAAACCTCAACAGCAAAAGCCTAAAACCTCGAAGCTTCCAGCCTAAAACCCTAAAACCTTGATAGCAAAAGCCGAAACCCCCGAAGCTTCCAGCCTAAAACCCTAAAACCTCAACAGCAAAAGCCTAAAACCGCGAAACTTTTCCAGCCTAAAACCCTAAAACCTCGACAGCAAAAGCCTAAAACCTCCAAGCTTCCAACCTGAAACCCTAAAGCCTTAACAGCAAAAGCCTAAAACCACCTAGCTCTTCAACACGGGCCTGGAAAACTAGAGTTTGACAGCCTCAATTTTTTGGTCAATTTCATTACGAAGCTTCACGGCAAAAACGTTCATGCATGCAGCGCTGCGGGCCAAGGTATTCGTTAGTGGTCTTCGACGAGGCTCGCCGTCGCCGGACATGGCACACTAGGAGCCACAGGGCGAGGGCCGCGGATCGGAAGTGAAGTGGCCGCGGGCCAATTCAATGCAACGGAGCAGGAAAGTAAGACAGCCGAATGCGACGACCTGAAAAAGCCTTTAGTCGGCACAGCCAACCCAGCGTTCCAATCTGGGCCACAGCGACCGCGACACCCCGTTCTTTTTTTTCTTCGTCGCAGTCGGCCCCTGCTGTGTCACAACTTGAAAATTACGGTATGAAGAGGCCGAGCTGGCACCGGAAGACCAGCTTGGGCCTTCGAACGGGCCGACCGCATCCCAGGAAACACCTTCGCGGAACACGCGGGCGCACCCGACCGTATCGACAGTGACACAGACACTGTACCACGCGCAGCGCCGCAGAGTCAGCACCACGAGTCTGCGCGCGCGCCGCGGGATACCTTTAGGAAAGACTCCTGTCAAAAAGGACCTGCGTGTCTGCCTGTCTGCGCGCGCGCGTGCATGTATCCAAAAAATAAGAGAGTCGGAGTGTCGGTCAACGCATGAGGCCCTGTAGAAGAGGATTCTGCGCTACGAGGCTCTTTAAAAGAGGATTCTGTGCGACGAGGGCCTTTAG